AATAAGGCCCCAATGCTCTGTGTTTGTACAGTGCCTAGTACAATAGCCAGTCAGCTCTTTGGGGCAGGAACTATCTGAAGAGAAGATAGACACAACAGGGGAATGGGTATAAACACACAAGCAGAGGGAACAATGAGATGGCGGCACAGTTAGTTCCATGATTTTGTTGTGGAGGTAGTTAGGAGGGGATAAGTGAAATGGAAAGAAAAGGGATGGGGTGAGGGGGACAGGGCAGAGCAGAGAAGGGCCAGGTGTGGGGTGAAGCTGAGAAGAGACTGAGGGAGATGGATTGGAGGAAACAGCCAACCAGCACAGGGCAGAGAAAGTCAGAACTCTCCACCGTGTTGACTGGAATGTCTGAAGGTTCCTGCTTTGCTTGCTTCCCTTCCTACTGGCTGGAGTCTCTGGCTGGCTCCTTGCTGCAGTCTGGAGCGGGGGCAGAGCCGTGCTGAGTACAAACCCATCTAAAACCAGTGGGGACCTACCCGGAATGGCACAGCTGTGTCGCGGCTGCCGATGACGTGCTATAGTGTCGACACTAGTGCTAGCTGGATGGGAACTAGTGCAAATGTGTACGTGAGCAGGGGGTTTACACTCCTAGCTCTTAGCATGATGTAGCCACAGTTTGTGGGGGTTCCCTCTGCACAGTTCTGGATGCAGGGGGGATAAGTGGCCCCAGCTGGGCCCCATTTTACCCCCTCCCTTCAGTGCTGCTTCTGGTCCTGCTTTGGCAGCTTCTGTTCATGGAGTATTTGGGTTAACATAATGGCTTTGATTTGGCATAGGATGTGTAATAGAAAGAGGTGATATTTTCCAAACAGACTCAGGGAATTCTTAACAGTGGAAGCAGCACCATAAATGTATATGTTTGGTTGTGAGGGTGTTTGAACATTGGGTAATATCACTAAATAGAAAACAGAGGGCTGGGTAGATTAAGTTTTGTTTTAATTAGAATTGTTGAAAATAAAAGCATTTATGCCCTGAAATTCTAGCTGGTGGGGTTATATGCACTTAGAACCTTATTATGTTAGGTATTCCTGTAATTCAAAAATGGCTGCTGGAGTATGGAAAAAATAGCTAGATGATTCTGGGTAATTAATGGAACACTTATTTGGGGTTTAGAGGACTCAACTGCTGAATGGATTTGAATCTATAGGAGATGAATTCAAGTAATACGTTATTGTATTCTGGCAAACATTCCGGAGGGTTGTGCAAAGCAAAAGACACTGCAGGTTGCAAATTTTCCAGCCAATGTGCTTATTTTAGTGGCAGCTCATAAAGCTGCCAATTCAGGTTGTCTGAGCAAATGTAGTTTTTAATGCTTTGTTCATGGAATATCTTTCCTTAATGCTACATTTTGATTTGTGTCATGGCCATGTGTATTAAACAACTCCCAACATTTCACTCCAGAAGTAACTGCATTTTAATCATGCATTGATCTCGGTGAAACACTGCCATCCTCCTGAAAGGTGCCACATGCCTTCAATGCCTATTCAGGAAGTAGGATTGGGTCCATAGTATATATCGGTTTGCCTCTAAAAGTATTTTAGGGTCTTTCATAAGAAGTTATTCTTTAGTTATTATATTGGCTCTAAAGTAAGTGTCCAAGGACATTATTCCCCCTCAGATAGAGATTTTGCACTTGGAATGAAATTCAATTTGACCACATTTCTGTAGCACCAAAGGCAGCGATTATAATAATGCCCAAGGAATCTGATAGGGTAACAAAAGGAAAAAATACAATCTAGGGCAAAGATTCAGAACTCAAAAAAACAAGCAAAAAAACTCCTCTCGCCACACATTTTATATGATACTCTTTGGGAGCACAGTAGAACCTCAGAGTTATTGAGCACCAGAGTTACGAACTGACTGGTCAACCACACACCTCATTTGGAACCAAAGTACACAATCAGGCAGCACACAGACCCAAACCCCCCCCAAACAAACAAAAGAAAAAAACAGCCAAACAAAAAACCACAGTACTGTGTTAAACGTAAACTACTAAAAAATAAATGGAAAGTTTAGAACAAATATTTGACAAGGTAAGGAAACTCTATGCTTGTTTCATTTAAATTAAGATGGTTAAAAGCAGCATTTTTCTTCTGCATAGTAAAGTTTCAAAGCTGTATAAAGTCAGTGCTCAGTTGTAAACTTTTGAAAGAACAGCCATAACGTTTTGTTCAGAGTTACAAACATTTCAGAGTTATGAACAACCTCCTTTCCCGAGGTGTTGGTAACTCTGAGGTTCTACTGTATCATACAGATACGCAGGATACAGTAGATGTCTCAGCAGTTTAAGGGTTAACAGCCAACTTTTTTATCTGCTCTCCTGAATAAGGCTATCATCGAAAAGAAACTGGAGCTCTCTGTAAGTTTGGATTGAACATCTAAGTAAAACTGTGGGAGCTCACTTTATAATGATTGCTATTCTATAATGATAGAAATAAAAAGCAATAATAGTGTTCTCTCAATTTATCGTACTACACTATGACTTTATAGTCAAAATGTGTACTTCTCTCGGGGTGGATTACAGAGTGGTGCTTTAGAAGTATACATAATTAAGCAAACACTCTAGGCCAGGACTGAGCAATCCATTGTCACTGATTGCTCATTTTCTGAGTTAGCTGCTGTACCACTACTCTCAGCAGCCCTCAGACAGGTATATATATCACCACGGTGTTTGTTTTTTAAAGCTCGCAAGAATTTGTAGTTTGAATTAGGTATATAAATCAGGAATCTAATCATTAGAGCGGATCAGAAAATGGGGACTGAAAAATATGAGATGTTCCACAGAATGTTGAATTTTCAGAAAAAATTGAGAACGGAAATATTTCTCCTGAAAACTGAAATAATTTTGCTTCTGAAATGCCACCACAGTACTCCAGTTTTCTTTCTAGGCTAGGCTCCCTGGTCAGACAACATTTTCCATGAGGCACCATGTTCTCCTCTCCCGTGGAGGAGAGGCTGTGCATCAGAGCAGTCACGTGACTTTGGTGCATCATGGTAACCAGCTAAGGAACCCAGCCCATAAAAGACAATGGGAGTATTAGGAACCTGAACTACAACTCCCATGAGCAGGGGTTCTCAAACTGGGGGTTGGGAACTCTCAGGGGGTCGTGGGGTTATTACTTGGGGGTGGGAGGATTGCAAGTCGTCAACCTCCACTCCAAAACCTGCTTCACCTCCAGATGTTTGCTATGGGAAAGGGGTCACCAGTAAAAAAGTATGAGAGCCACTTTCCATGAGGCAGTGAATGCCAAAGGGTTATTATATATAATGCCTAAGTCCCTCCTCTCTCCCATTTTGTGGTGGTGGACTCTGGTATCAAGACCAGTCCTTCCCTACAAACTCTAGTTACTCCACCACCACTGAGTGTGGCCAGAATCCAAACTGAAGCCTTCAACAGTGCACCCCTTGCACAGGTAAATGTAAATGACCTGTTTTTGCACCATCATAACCCACCCATTCCCTTAACAGTAAACTTTCAGAATCTGTCCTAGTTAGATTCCCAACTCTCGTATAGCCATGTCCTTCCCACCCCAGAACATCATAGACCCCTGCTTTTGGCAGGAGAGGGTGGAGTTGTGCTTGGTGATTGGGTGGTGGGGAGGAGGATAATATTAATAAAATCATGTCTGTTTAATATTAAACAGTAAGCGTGGTCCATGATAGCAGCATGCTGGTATATTGACTCAGTGCTACCAAAAAGACTATTCGCTCATAAGGAATGCTTCCTGCAGTATCTGGGTTTTCCCTGAATGTCTTCCATCCACATTCTGTGAGACCAGATTTACTTAGCCTTTCAGATGCAAAAAGATCAGAGCCTGAGGTGGTTTGGCCTCTAATTTGTTCAGACCAACTTGATTCACAAAAAACAGGGCCATAAATCCTTAAGCTCTTTCAAAGCAGCAATATGCCCTTGAGAAATACAGTATTCAGGAAACATGCATATCTTCCTCAGGCAGCCAATCAAAATATACTGATGAACACAACCACCACATTTTGAAACACCAACCAAACCACTGGCCTATTTATTTGGATTGTGTAATGGATATTCCATCAAGAGAAGCAGTAACATTACAGTAGGAAGCGTCTGTCACAAGACAGAGATTGCAAATAGCCAACAACTAGCCAAATGGGCCAAAAGAAATCTGATGAGGTTCAACAAGGACAAGTGCAGAGTCCTGCACTTAGGACAGAGGAATCCTGTGCACTGCTACAGACTAGGGACTGAGTGGCTAGGCAACAGTTCTGCAGAAAAGGACCTAAGGATTACAGTGGATGAGAAGCTGGATTGGAGTCAACAGTGCGCCCTTGTTGCCAAGAAGGCTAATGGCATTTTGGGCTGTATAAGTAGGAGCATTGCCAGCAGATCGAGGGACGTGATCATTCCCCTCTATTCAGCATTGGTGAGGCCTCATCTGGAATAGGGTATCCAGTTTTGGGCCCCATACTACAAGAAGGACGTGGAAAAATTAGAAAGCATCCAGCAGAGGGCAACAAAAATGATTGGGGGCTGGAGCACATGACTTGAGGAGAGGCTGAGGGAACTGGGATTATTTAGTCTGCAGAAAAGAAGAATGAGGAGGTATTTGATAGCTGCTTTCAACTATTTGAAAAGGGAGTTCCAAAGAGGATGGATCTAGACTGTTCTCAGTGGTGCCAGATGACAGAACAAGAAGTAATGGTCTCAAGTTGCAATGTGGGAGGTTTAGGCTGGATATGAGGAAAAAAACTTTTTCACTAGGAGGGTGGTGAAACACTGGAATGGGTTACCTAGGGAGGTGATGGAATCTCCTTCCTTAGAGGTTTTAAAGGTCAGGCTTGACAAAGCCCTGGCTGGGACGATTTAGTTGGGGATTGGTCCTGCTTTGAGTGTGGGGGTTGGACTAGATTGCCTCCTGAGGTCCCTTCCAACCCTGATATTCTACAATACTAACATTAATTAAAAAGAAAAAACAGCTAGAGGGGAAATAGTGGGCCTGACTCTTCTCACATCACTGTGATTCCACTGACCTTAATGGAGTTACCATTGATTTATTCCTAGTTTAAGGTGGAGGAGAATCAGCCACAGTGAATAGCCACGAAGATAAGCTGTGAGAAAAAACAGGAGGAGAGGTCAAAAAAGGAACTACCGCTCATTCTGTACAATTTGGAATTGAAATAAATAAAGCAGAGCTTTACTATAACAGAATATTAAGGACAGCAATAAAAATCCTGCAAATAGAGCAATTTTTAAAATGCATTGCAGTATTAACTCACTTAAAATACTTACCACTGGACTTTGTTTACTCAAGCTGGTCTTTGACAGATAAAGCACTTCTACAGAAAACCTTTATGATTAATACATAGTATGACAATAGATGATACTGAGTTTGTTCATATTGCACATCAACATATGATCATCATCATTTGAAGGCTAGGCTATCCTCTCTATTCAGAATGGTGTAGTAATAATTGAATCAGTCATTTTGTGATGCAGTGGGATAGACTGGATGATACTCTAAAACAGTGGTTCCCAAATTTGGCCTGCACTGCTTCCAGCAGTGCCCATTGGCCCGGAGCAGTGAACTGTGGCCACTGGGAGCCGCGATAGGCCGAACCTGTGGACGCGGAAGGTAAACAAACAGGCCCGGCCCGGCAGGGGCTTTGCCTGCACAAGCGGCAGAACAAGTTTGGGAACCACTGCTCTAAAACTCCCTCAGTTAAATTGACTGATTCCTATAGGCTGACTATTTACAAATTATTTATTATTTGGTAATAGAGGAAGACACAAATGAAAACCTAATAAGCAATATAAGCAGATTCTCTCCCCTGCTCCAGACCCTTTGCCCACTCTGGTGGTGCAAAGGAGCTTGAAAGCCAGTTGATATTCCCAACTAAGGTTAGTTAAATCAACTCGGTCATTTGAGGCTGTTTCTTAGCCACCTCCTCTGCAGGCCACATTGTGAGAGGTGGGAGGGAATGTAGCCAAAGCACTATCATGCTCCAGCAATAACCAGCAAGCAGAGTTCCCTTTGGAGGCAATAGCCCATTGACATACATTAGAGCAATTCTTAGGCCAGTTCCATGCTCACTCCAAGGCTGCGCTAACATACGTGGGGTCAGTATAGAGTGATCAATCTGTTTCTCTTACTATTAAAAAATCCTATGATTAAAAAATAGCTGATGTAGTAACAAATTATACAAATATTAGAGGGGAAGAATGGAAACAAGCTTCACCAAAATAGAAGTCTCAGAGCCTCAAAATTTCTTCCATCCTGTTGAAACAGATTGCCTTCCCCAGAACTTCACCTTGCAGAGTAGGTGGCATTAGAAGGTTCTGGGGTGATACTCCAGATCAGTTACTTATTGTACATAATACAGTATTAATTTAATGAAAGGGAAAGCTTTAAACAGCTGAGGGCTAGAAGCTCAGCTGATGTAAACTTGTATAGCTCCAGTGATTCCAGTGGAACTGTACTGACTGATATCAGCTAAAGAGCTCAGTAGTTATTCAGAAGAACAATATATTGTAATTTTTTTTTGGAGCAATCGATTATTGAAAACACTAACAAATAAAACAAGAACACCCAGCACAGAATGCATATGCAGCTAACACACCCAGAATTGTTACAGACTGAGTAGAATACGAAAAAGCAGGTTGATATCATCAAGTAACTATTTATGATGTACCTTGAGGCATTTTAAGTGCCTCTGCAATGGCTAAATGAACTAATTGGCTTTTCAAGTTTTATGCACAGCATTTGGATTTGTTATTTTTAATAGGTCTAAATGATTGCTCCAGAAACCCCAGGAATAAGGTTCCTCTCACAGATGACCTATGAATAAGTGAAAAGCTTCATTAACTGAGCATCAGACCTTAATGCAACTTCTCTTTTCAGAGTGATTTGTGAAAAAATTCCCACTTTTGATTTCCCTTATGATGCATTAGGAAGAACACTAACACCCAGAGGGTGGGATAAAGACAGCTGTTCTGACATTTAAACTGGCAATACGTTGAAATGGGACTATACCACCCTGGGGCAATATGAAATGTGCCTGTCCACATGAAGTACAGCCTTTTGTATTGTTATGTACTGTCTCTGAAGTGACTGGTACAGCTTAACTGCTTACCTATTAAATGAATGTGATTGCCTGTGGCATTATATGCCCTGTAGGCCTTGTCTACACTGCCACTTTACAGTGCTGAAACACTCTTGCTCAGGGGTGTGAAAAGATGCAAGTTTCAGTGCTGTAAAGTGGCAGTGTAGACAGTACACCAGCGCTGGTAGCTACTCCCCTCATGGTGGTGGGGTTTTAAAGACACACAGCGTTGGCAGAGCTTTCCCCCCAGCGCTGGTGCCGCGACTACACAGCCACGTTAACATTGGTAGTGAAGAAGACATACCCTAAGATGCACTGGAAGACACAAATGAAAGGAAAGACCAAACAAAACTGAAGACTATTTGCATATACACAAGGTCTTAATTTCCTTTAGTTTTATTGATCAGTCAGCAGTCATGAGTATGTCTGTTGGGTGCTTATGTGCCATTTATAATCTTAGAAACAACGAGGTAACTTGAATTTGTGAAATAATTTGTCATACCACAATAACATATAGATACTGAAGTAAACTGTGCTTTCTGGAGAGTATATATTTAAGTACTTATTTACTTTAATTTTTAATAACTCAGTCCAAAGAGCAGTTATCCCAAGCCCTGGCCACCCTTCCAATATTTAGAACGGTTGTGAAGAGACCTGTACTGTATAAATTCTCCAAGGCAACAAAAGTTCAGCTTAACTTGTTACATAAAAGTGTTTATAAAATGTTAGCAAAAGTTGGAGACAAATAGACCAGTGAAGATTGGATTGTTTAAGGTAAAGAACCATGCTAAGGGGTTGTCAAGGCTCCTAGTAAAGTCACAGGTTGGCATGACAACGAGCTGAAAGAGTCTAGAAATGGGAGGCAATGTTACGGCTGAAATCAGTGAAATGTGTTTTGATTGATTATAATGGGATAAGGCTGCCACCCTTACTTGGATGTTGTTTATTGGGGATGGTGGGGAGATGCATCACAAAATGTGAGTGAGTGTGGAATGCATGGACTGGAAGAAGCCAGCTTTACTCTCATTGCTGCCACCCCTACCATCGCCTGGGGCCCCAAGATTCACCATGGCATCATCAGGCCTTTGTCATTCTGATCCTGAAAGACAGCCTAACCAGACCAGGCCAGAGAGAATGAACCCAAAGACACTGCCACCTCCACCAGCTTTGACTAAATCCTGACCACCACCTGGGATCTGAGACTTGGACTCCTGCTGTTACACTGCCCTCCCCCCCCCATTTTCCTTCCCCAGCTGACTTCTTTTCTTTCTCTTTTTGTTTTCTGTCTAAAGCTGGCCCAGACAACTACATATTTTGCAACCCTGCTGTGAGCTTGTAACCAGAGAGGCAGCTAAAAGCAGTGCCTTAAGCAGCCTAACATTGGTACAAGTTTGCCAGGTCTTGAAGTGCTGATCAGACAGTACTTTGTACTGGGTCTGTTTCTCCAGTAATAAGGTTCCAAGTTAAAGTCAGCACTAGTGACAGAAGCTGCGTTTTCTCTCTTTGCCACTCTGTTCGTGTGTGTTTGTTTTGTCTTCAAGGAAACACGATTATACTCCAGTAACAACAGCAACAGCTCCAGACTATTTAAATGGCCAGTTAATACCATCTTTAATATCATCTAAAAGACTGTCAAACAGGGATTTCTCCTAGAAGAAACTCTATAGAGTGAAAGGAAATTAGGGATAGTTAGAATAAAAGCTTTAGTTAATACACAATAAAACATTTGAAATGTAAAGTATTTTTTCCCCTTTTTCTGTGCTTTTAGTAAAGGTTAGAAAGATTTTTTGAAAAGAGTAAGCCAACATTAGCTTGACATGAAACCTCAGATCACATTTAACTGTTTAATGTTGTAACAGTGAACAAGGATTTTATCAAAAAAATCTTACCCTTTTAGGCCTAAAATACCCCCTTTTCAAACACAACCAACAATTACACTGAATGTCTAAAATTAACTGTTGACAACAGTTTTTACTTTTTTTAACATCATTGTGGAAGAGCAGAGACTGCAACTGGGCACAGCAGGGGTTAAAGAACACCTGAGGGTTCAGCTAGCCCCGCCCCATTACACCTGAAGCCAATGCCAGGGCTGGAGCGGGGAGAAAAGAAGGGAGCCTGCCTCAGTCGGGGCTGATTGGTGAAGAGGCAGGTGCTCTCTATATGCCTGCCTGAAGGACAGACCTGCAGCCTGCCTGCCAGTGTAGCCACTGGAGGCAAGTAACTCTTCCCCGGACAAGGGGAACCTACAGAGAAGCCTCAACTGGATTAATGGGGCCCTGCCCCAAACTAGAAGGGCTTGCATAGGGAGCAGGCCAGGGAAACAGAATGGGAGAAAAATCTATCTTTCCCTGTTTAGCAGTTGAGCAACACAAGACTCTGGACCAGGACCTGAGGGAGAAGGTGGGGTCGGGTCCCCCTAACCGACAATCTGAACACTAGAGCCCTATCACAATTATTAACAACAGATTTTATAAACCATTTTCTTCACCCCACATTTAACATCCAGGAGTATCTATACACAATCATACGTCTTCCGTTTATTATTTTCCCTGGAGATGTCTAATGTGTGGAGGAGGCAGTTTTTGTGAAAATATGCTACACAGTGAAAGAATAACTACTATATGCTTAAAAGAAGGGTGGGAATTATTGCTGTTACCTTAGGGCCAATCTAAAATGGCCCAGAAATCAATAGTTCTGTCCTTTTTTGTAGATTATAGTTGGAGTCATGGAAAGCATTTTGTTTCTGGTGAAGTGCACAGTTCTTAGACAGCTGCCCAATGTCTCAGGTGACAGTAAAGTACATGTTGCAGTCTCCTACCTCATCAGAGTGTGCAGATAGTTCAGTCACTGGCCAGTGTGCTCTTCTGTCTCTGTCATCCCCTGCCAGCAATTACTTGGTGGTCACAAAGGTGTGGCACTGCTCCTTCTTGTGATTCAGCCCTCCAGCCAGGATGCTTACATTCTACTCTGATCAGCGGGTAACAAAGTCCAAATGAAAACAAAGTCTTAGTGACCATGTACCAGGCCTTCTGAGCTCTATAGTCCTTTCCCTTTTACTGCTAAGGCTTATGCTGCTCCTCCTGTTGTGGGGTGGTCAGGAAATCCACATCTTCCCTTCTTCTTAGTTCCAGCCCAGGGGCCTTGTGATAAACCATTAGGGTCTGTTTCTTATTATCCCTTGTAGATTCCCTGGGCTACTTCCTACCTTTGCCTTTTGCAAGTGCTTGTTGGGGCTCTTCACTCTCCAGTCCTCTCTTCTTGGAGCTTAGTCTCTCTATACAACTTTCTCCTAGTTTGTTGCTAAGGTTGACCCTCTGATGCCTTTCCACATCAGGGCCAATCCCAGGGTACAAGCTTCCTACTGCAGCTTTCAGTCCTTTCCTATCAGTTCTGCTATCACTCCTTTATAAAAGCCACCCAGTGTCTGATTCTCCCTTGCTGGATCTCATCCTTAACTACCTGTTTCCCCAACCCAGGTGCCATGGAATGGGCTAACTGAACTCTCCTTCACCCTGTCACTGTCTGTGGGAGTTCTTATACCCCATCACACAGTGGACAGCTTTTCTTTGTTCTCTCTTCACCCAGAGTTATGAGATACATATACATCGCAAATGAAGGTGTGATTGCAGCATGCGTAGGCATTGTTATGCTGGCTTTAAGCTAGAGCTGAGCAAATAATTTTTTCTGTTCTATGGTCGAACTGAACCACCCCTTCCCCCCCCCCCAATAAATACAAATCAGCTAGTTTTGAACTCAAACTGAATGTGTTTCAGTGAGGAAATAAAAAACCAAAATAAAAAACAAAATTGTTCGGGTTGAATTAAACATTTTGAAACAAATGACATTTCATGTCATCATTTTGTTTTGAAACAAAATAATCAAATGGTTCATTTAAAAAAATGGCAACGAGAACAAATTGTGGTCTTTTTTACACCCATGATCTGGTTAGCTTTTTAACTCAGAATCTCTATATCACTATCACTATATCACTATATCTCTATTTCTATGGTTCATTTAAAAAAATGGCAACGCGAACAAATTGTGGTCTCTTTTATACCCGTGATCTGGTTAGATTTTTAACTCAGAATCTCTATATCACTAATATGCACATAAGGAGTTATTTTAGTTTTACAAGTTCAGCAAGATCTGTTGACGCATCTGTGGGAGTCCAATCCTACAAGCCCTCCACATTCACTAATACAGGGTTAACTTCACCCCTCAATGGCGGTCCAACACAATTGGTGTGTATAGGCCTTAAGTTCTACATAGCTCTAACTGGAACATAGGCTTTCTCCTGCTTTCCTTCCTCTTCCTCAGTTTTTTCAGATGCTCTCACATGAAGGCAGAATGTGTCTAATTGCCTGCAAGAAAGCATTACTGTCCAAATTTCCAGGGGGCTTCAAGAAGACACAACAGACTTTAAAGTCTTGCTGAGACTCAGTGGCCAATCTATCTAGATGGCAGAAATCTCATTAGTTTACAGAAAATAATTCCACTTTGGGGGAGAAGCGAGCAAAAGGGGAGAGGGGAGAAATGAAGCCATCATTGCTTGCAGTTAAGTCTCAATTTTCTGAGTGCAGATCTTGGTGTGTTACTCCCACTGTTTTTGTGTAATTATCTACCCATTCAGAACTATGGAGGAAGTATTCATTGACAGGCTCAAACACTCTCTCTCTCTCTCTCTCTCTCACTTTATTAGAAAAAGGTTGAATCTCTTATATAGTTCCAGGAGCAGAAAATTTTAAAGTGCAGGTGTAGTTTTTTTTTTTCCCTGTTCCAACAAAGTGATCAAACTGTGATTTTTGTTATTAGATTTGGAAGAAATAAGCAGAACAATTGTTTACATTAAATGAATATTTTCATTTGTTCATAGAAACATTTTGAATTAAAAAAACACTAAAAAAGAAATATTGCCAATCTGTCTGGCCTCTTTGAGTTGGTTAATTCGTTGGAGTCCACACACTAGTATCAATAATTTATTTAGCTGTTTAGATAGGACGTTAGCTTATAACACGATATGTTCAGAAATATGCACAAGAGAGCTGAGATTATGCAGCTGGCTTTTTGGCAGACAAAAGGCTGATTTTTACAAGGAGGAAGTAATAGCTCAACAATATAATCTTCGGTGCATTAAGGGATCTCATAACTAGCCCTTTTTGTGAGATGATCCTAATGAATTAGAACCTTTCTTCACATGGCCAAAGCAGATGGGATGGTGTGGAGTTTGCAAACAACAAGTGCTACTGAATCCTCAAGACATCTCTAATACACAGTTAACATCAAATACAGCAAGTACTGAACCAACTGTGTTCCTTGTGGAATAATGCTTTCTTGATGTAACTCTCTGTTTCACACACTCCACAGGTACATATAACCAATCATTTGTGGGGCTGAGATATGCACCTCTGAATTAGAATCTGTAGTTAAAACCCACTTGGGACCATCAGGAATTTTCAAGTTGTGCAACAGGGGTCTGATCTTCACCACTGAAGTCAACGGAGGGGTTTGTCATTGACTTCAGTGAGAACTGGTTTGGGCTGTAGCTGCCTGCGTAACCCACTGATCTTATTTTTGTTACCCTTATCCTTGTTTTTCCCCTCCTCTTATTTTGTTGTCACACTTATGTGGTGCATCTTGTCTCATTTTATTCCTGCGCCTGCAATTTGATCAGTGCAGATGGACCCCTGCATCTAAACAGAGCTCCATTGACTTCAATGGGACTCCATATGGGCATAAAGATTCACCATGCATATCAGATTGCATAATCAGCTGCTTAGATCGAGAGCTGTTTGGGGGCAGGAACTGTCACTATGGCCCAGCTCCTCAAAGGTTTTCAATGGAAGTTAGGAGCCTAAATACTTTTGAGCATCTCAGGGGCCTATGCATCTGAGCAGAGCCCAGCACTATGTAACCTTGATTGGGGCCTGTTCGCACTGCTGTAATTGAAATAATAAATCATAATAAAGGCCACAGATTCGACTGTTCTTGGTAAAAATGTTTAAAAAGCTGTTGTAGAATTCACTATTCGGGGGCGTGCGGGGAAGACCTCTTCTAATTAGGGTTGTAAGAACTGGTTTGGCTTAATTAAAAAACTTCTGAAAATCACGTGTTTTAGATTTAGAACAGAACCCCAAACCTTTAAGGTTCTGGTTCCCTTTGGTGTTAGCAAAATGTGAATTCTGAAACATAGCCTGGGGTTATGTTTTTGTTTCTGTTTTTTTAAATTTCCCACTTGTAATAGAAGCAGCTAGAACAAGAATTACTTTCAAACATTAATCTTTATTGCACACATTCCATATAGTTAGTAATATGTGTTTAATTACATTCCCTGGGGAAAAAAATTATTCACATTAAAGGGAATGAAACTTAAAAATATTTCACCCATTCCAAAACTTAAAAAAACCCCAAAACTAAAGAGATTTTGCAAAACACTAATCACTAATTTTAATGCTCCATCCTGAAAATTATCTTCTTAAAACAAGCTTCCTATTCATTTCATATCAGAAAAAAAGAACTGTTTGAGAAATAATCTTCAAGAACATAAAACTGTAGAATACTGAACCATTTTGATATACTAAGGCTGCAAGACACTGTGGGGTCATGTCACTAACATAGCTTCACAGTAAACACCTATTATATTACCAGTGATTCATTTCACACAGAAGAAATTATAGACTCAGAATGGTTGGTAAGGTAAAGATTGAGTAGTGGGGGGGGGAAGATTTTTCCCATTTCCACATTGCTTGTTTTACATGACTAAAACTAAAAAAATCATTTTGGAAAAATCATTCTTTTATCACTTGCCTACCATCAAAACACATTGATTCTCAATTATGGATTAAATTGAGTCCTGAATTCTCTCCTTTGTTATGTGTGACATATATTGAGCATGGGGATGTTCAGTATGGCTAGGGTGACCAGACATCCCATTTTTAAAGTCCCTGCAGGTGTCCTGACTTTTTCTTAAAAACAGGCAAATTGTCCTGTATTTTCTGTCTCCTCCCATCAGTACTGGTGGGACCTGCTGCTGGCCAGATCCCTGCTTGCCAGCCACTTACCCACCAGTGGTGAGTGGGGGGCGGGGTCCAGTGGCTGATGATGGGGGTGGGTGTGCAAGGCTGGTGCTGGGGCGAATATACAGCGCATAGGCCGCCCGCTCCGCCTGCTGGTTCTTCAGCAGTCCCCGCCGTGTGCTGGCTTTTGCTGGGCTGCGAGCTGTGGTGGTTGGTGAGTCTGGGCAGGCACCAGGCAGCAGCCGGTTACGTGTCGCCTCTGCTGCCCACCCATCGGCCCTTTACAGCCTTCCCCTCTTGCTGTCCTCTCACTGCTTTGCCCTTTCATCCGCCCAGCCCGCTGCTCCTTCATATCCTCTCCCCTGGTGGTGTGCATCTTGATCCCAGTGCTGTGCAGACAGACAGCCCCTGGTCGGAGCGCTCAGCTTACCAACAGCCTGGCCGACAGGCTCCTTCCTTTCCCTGCTGCTCTGGCAGGGCCGGCATCCTAGGAAAGCCCAAGACCCTCCAGCCTGGGGCACTGGCCAAGAGGAGCCGGGCCCTGCATGGAGCCGAGCCCCAAAGCCCCACACAGTGCTGGCACTGAGCAGCCTCTCTGCCCCTCAGGTAAGCTCTGGAGCATGTGTGGGGAAAAGTGATTTCCAGCCTGTTCACACTCCAAACCTGCAGGTTCCACAGCAGACCCTGCGGCAGGGGCTTAGCACCCTCTTTGCCCTCCCCCACCAGGGTCCGGACTCCAGGAAGCGTGAGGCTTCTCCGTCCCCTAGTGACCCTCCTCTGCTGAGCCACCTCTCTGGCAGGGTTAGCTGAAGCCCCTGCAGTCAGGTTCCCTGGGCCCTGGTGCACAATGCATCCTTAGGGCTTAACCCCTTCCTGCCCATGCTGTAGCTGGGGGACAGGAGGCGGCTGGGTTACGGCAGTGGCCAGCAGCAGCCTGGAGGTGTTAGCTGCCTT